CATCCAGATGTCTCCTCCCATCGTGCCACTGAACAGGGAGAAGCAACAGCCTCTCCACCCTCAAGGTGAGCCCATGGTGTTGTCATCACTGGCTTGGTGCCTGTTTGAGCCACATGTCTTGTCCTGCTAGAATTACTCATCAGAGCAGTGGCTTGTGCAGCACATGGAACCATAAGGTGTCTGTACTCAGGGCTGAGTCGTGTTAAACTTTCCACCCTTTGCAGAGGATGAGTTAACTTAGTGGCAGGGTTGTCCTTCAAGAAGGAGGGGATGGAGAAGTCTAAGCTGGGAATTTCTGTCTGAACCATGAATCAGGCTGCATGTGCCCTGGTCTAATGATGAGGAAAGAGGCCCTAGACCTGGAAAATGTCAGGCAGATTTACCTTTTCACCCTCTGCCTACTGTTAGGCCCTGCAGAATGGTCCAGTTTGCACTAAATCAGCCTTTCAGTGTGCTCTTGGTGGCAGCGTAGGGGCGGGTGCTGCCAGCTTGGGTGTGAAGCATATTGCTTTGAAGGCTGACCCCTGTGGCTGTTTTCTTCTGCAGGCATGGAAGACAACTCCTCAGGGAAGGATCAGACCTATGTTGGCAGGCGTTCCAGCCGTGTTGTGCGCTCTCTACAGAGCAGTAAGTAACTGAGCCTGTTTTTCAGCTTGAGCTGTTCATGCTCTGCACCTTCATGGATGACATGAAGGGTGTAAGCAGTAAAGGGTAGAACCTTGTATTGGGACATACCTTGCCGCTCACTGGGCCCACTGTGGTTGGGTAGGGGTATCAAAGCAACCAGAGCTAGCACAACCAATAGCTCTGCAAGGCTAGCGCTTAAATTGTGTTTTCCTTAGTGAGCCGTGCAACAGAGACAGCTCTTCATCATGGTTATGCTTTGAGTAGCACAGATCTTACAAGTACCTTGTCAAGCTTTCCTGCTTCACACCTTCACAGTGCAGAAAGCAGGGAAACATGATAGGAAGATGTCCTGGTTTGGGTGGGGATAGAGTTAATTTTCTTCCTGGTGACTGGTACAGTGCTGAGTTTTAGGTTTAGTATGAGAATAATGTTGATAACATTATTATAACTAATATTGTAGGCTGTTGAGAAGTAGCAGTTACTCTAAGTCAAAGACTTCTCTTGCCTGGGTTCTGCTAGTGAGGAGATGCACAAGAAGCTGGGAGGGAGCATAGTCAGGATGGGTTACCTGAGCTGACCAGAGGGATCTTCCATACCATAGAACATCATCCCCACTGTATAAATGGGGAGAGTTGGCTGGATTGCTGATTGGGAATGGGATGGCCATCAGTCTGGGCATGATGAGCAGTTGCACATCGCTTGTGTTTCTTGGGTTTCCTTATCTTCCTCTTCATTACTGTTATTATTGTTATTATTTTTGTTACTTTATTTTATTTCAGTTATTAAACTGTTCTATGCCAATGCAGGAGTTTTACCTTTTTCTGATCTTTCTCCCCATACAACCGGACAGGGAGGTGGGGTGGAGGGCTCCAGGGCCAGGTGGAGTGAACTAGCAGTCGTGTGATGCGTAGTTCCCAGCTGGGACAAAGCTTTTATTTGTGTTAGTAACCAGATTTGCTTGTTTCAGCCCCGTCCCTGCAGTCTCGGCACTGGGGGTCCCCCCAGCAGAGGGAGGAGTCGCAGAGCCGAAGAGCGGAGGAGATGAACCAGCCTCCCACTCCTCTGGGTCTCCAGGAAACCATCGCGGAATCCATCTACATTACCCGCCCGCTGCTCCACCGTATCCTGCCCTTCTCGCTGCGGGCTCCCACGGCTCGCGGGTGCCAGCAGAGGGTGCTGCGGGCTCGGCCCGGCTGCAGGGCAGTGCCTGCCCAGCTCTGCTCCCTGCGCGGCTCTGCTTGGCCGCGGGGCTTGGCACTCTTCCCTTTCTTACGCTCTGGGGGCTGGCCTCAGCCACTGGAGCTGCGGGTGTAAGTCCCCCAGCCCTTTCCCCCGGCGCTCCCAGCCCTGCCTTAGAGTGTATTCACCTGCTCTTGGCAGAACTTTGTGGGTACACAGGGGATCACTTCTCTGCGTGCCTCTTGTTAGGAATCTCTCATCTTTTCATTCCTTGACTGTGTGTTCCTAGTATTGAGTTTAGGAGTATGGGGCCAGAGATCATGGAAGCCCTGGCTCCTCTCAGCAGTCCTGGACATCTCAAGGTCAGTCTGAGGAGTCTTTCTTGATGCTTGGTTTGGCTGGGCGTCACACTTTCCCCAGTCCTGGGCAGGCCCTACTGAGAGAAAAGGGTACGGGGGCTGGTCTTTAGCTTGGAGATTGACACATCTACAACACTTACAGTGCTCTCTGTTCTGAGCTGGTGTGGGCTGCTCTGCATGGAGCTGAGAGTGGAGGGCTTTAGAAACCTGCTTTCTTTTCCCTGCTGGCTGCTTTTTCTCTGACTTAGCTCTCTGCCCTTCTCCTTCCAGTCTGAGTTTGCTGAGTGATCTGAAAGACCTGAACAGGCGAGAGCGGGCAGAGCTGAGGCGACGAACCATCCTACTGCTGTACTACCTGCTGAGATCTCCTTTCTATGACCGATACTCAGAGTAAGGGGCCCTTGCTGGGCTTTTGCTGAATATTTCCCTTTTCACTGAAATAGCATCAGGGCACTGGGTGAATAGATGTGAAGATGTGTGGGTGCCTCTGACCAGGGTAATCTGAGCCCTTGTGTAACAGCTGCCATTGCTGTTTGTGTGTTCAACAGCTGGGGCAGGAGAAGTCCAGCTGGACTTGTTCATACTCTCTCCCTTTCTAGGGGCAGGATCCTCCTCCTTCTGCGCTTGTTGGCTGATTATGTGCCTGGAGTTGGCTTCATCACACGTAAGTGTTATATCCCCATTTCTGTCTGGTGAAGAAAAATGAGGGCTGTTGGGAACATTTGTCAGTTGGTTTCAAATCCAGGGAAGGAATTGGGAAGTCCCTAGAGCAGTTAGCACTAGAACACCCTGTGTTGATGCTTGAGTAATTTTTAAATGCTGAAGGAAAACATTAATTGCTTCCTGGCTTCATGACTGTAGTGAACCTCTGTGTGCCCTGAGGCTGCAGAGCTCAGCATCTGCCACCTAGGTCTGTTCTCCTGGGCTTCCTTTCTGCACCTCAACTGGTTCACGTGGGCCCAACTTTGCAGCCCTGTTCTGAAGTCTTTTCCTTGATGCCTAGTCTGCAGTGTGGACATGAGGGGTAAATGGGTGCCTAGAAGTATTGAACCAGGCAGAAACTGACTGTAAATCAAAGAGCCAAACCAGGTCTGTGTTCTAGTTCTTCACCAGAGGATCCCTTTATGATAGGCCAGCATTTCATTTCCCCCAGCTCTTCCCCTGATGATGTTAATCCTTTTGTGGAGTGATTCATGGCAGTGATGTGACATTACATCAGCCTGGCATCATGGGATTGCCCTTTCTTTGGGGAGCTCACAAAGCTGGCTAGTTCAGGAGCCACTTCCTCCAGTTAGTGATTTCAGAGAGGCTTTGGAGCCTGCATTAAGCCCTGTGCAATGTAAGCATTTTTGCTTTACAGCAGATGCTTCTATGTTTGCACCTGCTCACTCTTGCTGAGTTATCTTCCCTGTCACAGCAGTGTTCTCCTGACTCTCTGCATGTGGGTTTTTGCCTTGCTCATTGTAGACTCCCTTTCCCACTGCAGTTTGAGCATGTCAGCTCTGAGGGAGTGGTTGGTGTCCTACACCATGGTCATGCTGACCATGTTTCACACCCCTCTTGGTCCTGCTCTGATCTCTGGCACATTGCAGTGTTGCCTTACATGTTGGCAAAAGTAACTGTTCTAATCTTGGGTTCATCTGAGTGGTGTAAATGGAGATTGGGGGTTGTTTGGATCATAATGAGAAGTGGGGGATATACCCCACAGACACACAGCTTTTAAATTGTTGCCTTTCTACATGTATGATCCCTCTGTTCTCTTGTTTCAGGGCCACTGATGGATTACTTGCCTGCTTGGCAGAAAATCTATTTCTATAACTGGGGCTGATAAGAAGATAATTACTCTCTACTAAAATCATGGCTAGACATTCCTAAGGAGTGAAAGCAGACTGGGGGAGGGATGTTGATAACGTCTAATTTTCAGCTAAATCATAAATGAGAAGCTCCTGTTCTGCAGAGCTGGGAGGGGATTGTATGTGATTTTATTTTTAACAGATCTAGGCGTGAGTGATGGACATTAAATGTGGGGAGACCCTGGCCACCTATTTCTCTGGACCATTCTGTGGCTACAGTGATGGTGATGGGGCAGCCTCTTTTTTGAAGCACTTGATTTTTCTCCTTTTGTACAGATGTGCTGTAATAAAGCCAGGCAGCACAGTGGTTTTTTGGAGAGCACTGTCTCACATGTCAAGGCACTGAAGTTGACCCGCAACCTGCTTGTGTTGGCCATGCCTGGCCCATCTGCTTGGAGCAGATTTGTCTGTCAAATAAACTGACTGAATGGAGAGAACTGAGCTGAAGAGCCTTTGCCTCTTTGCATGGGATCCCTTGTATCTGGTTGCCAGCAGGTCTCTGTCAGAAAGAGCAAGTTTTGCAGTTGTGTACCCTGTGATATTCTGTCCCCTTTGCCCTGGCCTGTGTCAGTCAGGGCCCCACATGTTGCTCAGCTGCTGACTATAGCCTGTGTAATTCCCAGTGCCTGCCTCAGGCCCCAGAGTCCTGGGGTTCCCCTGGGGTACACAGGCTGCTTTCCTAGCACCTAATGTGTGTTAAAAGGGTTTGCAGAATGGCTGCTAGCCAGTGTCTGGAGGCTTGGCCAAAGGCAGAGGAGAAGCAATTAATGCAGCAAATCTGCTGTGCCACGTTTAATGAAGGGCCTAGGAGAGGCCTGTGTCTCTTATAACAGGAGGACAGTTGAGGCACCAGTCTGCACACTGAGCTTCTGTGGAGGTTCCCTTGGCCAGGACAAAGGGTTAGTCACCTGGTAGTACTGGACTGCCCCACAGGCAGCTGTCTGGGAAGTGTGCCCCAAGCAGGTATCAGGAACATTCCTACCTGAACCATCCCTGAAGGATTCTCAGGCTGCAGGGATCACAACCTTCTTGCCTCAGCACCCGGCACTGGATGTGTAGTCCCACACACATATCCCCCATCAGCCACAACAGTTGGGGACCACAGGACTTTGCCAAGATGCGGGGTCTGTGTTGCCAACTCAGCTGTCAAGGCCCTGCAACATGGTCACAGCACCGCAGAAAAGCCATGACCAAGGAGCTATCTCCCTTTGCTAAGTCTTTTAGCAGAGGAAGATGCTGAAGTGTGGGCTCCTGGGCGAGGGTGGTACTGAGATGAGATGCAAAGGTCTGCTTTTGGAGGGCTTGAGAGGAAGGCACAAGCTGGGGGTCAGGGGCAGCCCTGGAGCTATGACAGTATGACTGGACATGTGCCAGCACAATGAAGGCTCAGCAGCTGGCAGGGCCCAGGCAGAGGCAGCCCAGGACCTGAAGGGGACAAGGTAGGGACAGCAGCAGCACTGAGGAGGGGCCGTGTCCCTGCCCCAACCAGCAGGTATCCTGGGCAACCAGGGTGGTTCCTCTGTGACTGCTGTGGAACCAGTGGAACCCGTCAGTGTGCACCATGCTGTGCTGCCTGCTGTTCCTCGCCCTGCTGCTGCGGGCTGCCCTCCCACAGCCTGTGCCCCAGAGGTGATGGCACTTCCCTCCTTCTCCTCCTGCCTGCCCCGGTACCTGCAGGTGCCTCAGGGCCCCTGATGTGGGCCAGGGCTTGCGGCACCAGGCCTCAAGAGCTGGCCAGACTGGGTGGAAGATGCAGCACATGGGAGCTCTTGTGCCAGCCTGGATCAGTGTTGTAGGACCTTGTCTCACTCCTGGCTATTTTCCTCTGTAGGGACAGCTACTCAGTTCCTGAGGATTTCTCTGCTCCCCTGGAGCTCCCGCAGAAGCACTTTGGCCTGGTGGATGGTACAGTACTCTCCTTGCCCCTCTGAACCCCCTTTCCACGCATTCACCCCTCCAGGTGGCTGATCCCAGCCTCTGCTGCACCCACAGATTACGGCATCAAACCCAAGCAGCCTAGCTTCAGAAGCCCGGTGGCCCCGGAGCGGCCGGCGGAGCTGCGCAGGGCTGGCAAAAGCAAGCGCGACGGGCTGGACTTGCTGGAGTACTACGAGGATGGGCGCCTGTGAGGCAGCGTGCCCCTGTGCCTGCCACAGCCCAGCAGGTGAGGGCTGGAGCAACAGCTGACAGAGTCCCTTCAGATCATCATATGATCTCTGGCCTCCCAAGACCGCAGCCAGGGCCCTTGGACCAATAGTGAGAAACTCCAGCTCCTCTTGGGGTCCCAAAGGAAAGAGAGAGCCAGGGCCCAAACCCCTTGTAGTGGGAAACAAGCAGCACAGTAGCTCTGCTCCATGAACCATCATATTTAATAGTTGTTGCCATCACAGCAGATCCAGCTGAAGCACAGAGACCACTGGCTGCAGGGACAGGGGCTGGGAGAGCTCTTCTATCTCCCCGGTGCTTCGCACGGCTCCCTGCAGCCTTTAGCCCCTCCCTGCCCCATTTCGGGCAGATACCCAGCTTTGTGCAGGGGCTGAGCCCCACTGAGCTGGGGTGGCCCTGCCCTGCCTCTGCCACCTGCAGCTTGGGGGAGAGTGGAAAGGGGCAGAGAAAGGTTTTCCTCCTGAAGGTATAGTTACTGCAGGGAGGTATGAGGGGAATTTTCCCCTCTCCCCAGGGCCTGGATACAAGATGGAAAGGGGGGGATGGGGACAGAGGCAGGGGAAATCTGTCTCATCTCATTCTGGCTCTGGCAGAGGAGAGACTGGGGCTTCCTCTGCCACCTCTGCCCAGCAGCAATCTCCCCAGGGCCTGGCAGGGAGGTGATCCCATCTCCCAGGCAGGAGCCAGCATGTGGGTCTTGTTTTCTGTAGCTGCTATGTCATCATACTGCAAGAGACTGACTCTGCCACCGCAATTAAAAGTCACCCCAGATGGATGTGACGGGAAGCTGTGCCATGGTCACAAGGAGGAGATGCTGTCACCCCAGCCTGCAGCTGGAAAGTGCACGAGCACGCTACTGCCCCCCACAACTGCTCACAAGCAGGGCACCCAGCGGGTGCTTCTCCAATAGAATAAACTAAGAGTATTTTGTACAATAAACACAATTTGTCCAGCCCTCCCCCCTCCCGTCCCCCCAGCCCGAGGAAGGGGAGTCACGAAAAGAGGCGGCACTCCGTGCCCCGGGGAGCCCTGCCCCGGGCCCGCTCCTCCTCCAGGCTCAAAGCAGCTCTTGTCCATGCACGACACGGGGAAGGGGCGAGACTGCAGCCCTGGCTGTGCAGGAGGTGCCTGTGCCAGCCCCTACTCCAGGTAGATGTCCTCTGTGGGGCACGTGTACTCCACATACTCCTTGTAGAATTGCTGGAAAGCCCTCCTGCAACACAGCACCAGGCAAAGCTTAGCAGCAGCCTCCCCACAAGGCAATTGTAGATTCCTTGTTTCCATCCTGAGCCTCGCCCCCTACCCTGTGGCCTCTTTGACCCCCCCAGCCCTTGACCTCTTCTGCATTAGCCCCAGAGCTGCCATCAGAGCCACAGAGTCTCCACCCTTGCTCTGATTCCCTGCATAGTGCATGACTTTCAGCCATCTGCCTGCAAAGCCTTGCACTGGGACTTGTTCCAGTACTGTCAGGAATATGGTGCCCATAGCCCTGTCAGCCCTGGCTCTCATGCCAAGCACCTCACGTAAGGAAGAGGTGCCAGCCTGGGGCCAGATCCAAGCCCCCCATGTAGGGGGAGATGGCAGGGTTCAGCCTGGCTGTCTTGTTCCTCCTGCCTTTAATGAGCCAGCCTTCCCTGCCCATCGAGGACTCACCCTACAGACTCTGCCAGTGGCTTCGTGGACTCCTCCGAGACGAAGACATGACAGGCAAATCTGTGGTCAGCAGGGTGCTTGGTGATGAACCCAAAATATCTGAGGGCAAAGAAAGTGGATGTGACTGGACCAGCAGATCAGCAGGCGCAGGTACCCCAGCATCTCTGAGGTGTACCCACCCTAAAGCACAGGGATTTGGGACCTGAAACCCCTCTGATAAATCCTGGTGGCCACCCCTGGGTCTTGCCACAGCCCATGGCCAGAGCTGCAGCACTGGGCTCCCAGGGGAAGGGGAGCCCTCCAAGCCAGGTCTCTGGGAAACCTCCTCTTTCCTTCCTAGCCCCAGTTGTGCTACCCACAGGGAGCAGGAAGGCAGCAAAGCCTCGCTGCTGAGCTACTGAGGTTGAGAGCTGCACTCTGCTTCCTTGCTACTCACTTGTTGTTCTTTGGATGGTACCCACAAAAGGAAATGTTCTTCAGCTGGAAAAAATGGCTACACTTGTTTACCTGGGGGAGAGAGAGAGAGAGGAGAACTGTCAGAGCTTTTCTCCCCACTCCCTGCAGTGCAGCTGGTCTCTGGCCACTGGAAATATGCACTTGGAGACTCAAGACTGAAATTAATTGGAGCCTAATCCTGGACTGCTATCAGCAGCAGTTTCAGGATTGCTCCAAGCACCTGAACAAAAGGAGCTTTTCCAGGCAGCCCTGCTGGCTCTCACCCCAGCTGCCTTTACCACCAGTAGCTCCTGCAGGATTTCCCTGGGGGCCCTGAGTCAGACTGTACTCGGGCTAGAGTCAGTGCTGCTGATCAGCAGCACACACAGCCCTCCTTCTCTAAAAAGGCTCTCATAAACACCAGTACATAGAAGATGAATGAAGATAATGAAAGAAGATAACTTAGAACTAAATAAGCCCATTCAAGCCTGGGTGTCAAAGGGTCCCAACCAGAAACGAAAACTTACACAAGTCTAAAGAGCAACTAAGTTGATGGCATCCTCTAGATACAGGCAAGATTTGTAGAAACCTCAACCCAGCTCTGTCACAGCACTCAGAGCCATGAGCTACTCCTATCCCCCAGCTAGGGGAGGTTTCCCAACAGCTTACTGCAAAGCCCTCACTTTCCTCTCCTCAGCATCCCCATGTGCTTTACTAGGCTACTTATGCAGAATGCTAATCAGCAGCTTGCCCTTGCCAGATAAAGAGATTACAGGGCCGATCTGGAGGACACCACTCAAAATAGTAGCAGAAAGGTTTAGAAGCAGCTGACAGATTACCGGGTACGGCTCAGCTTGCAGCATCCCAGCACAGTGACATGCCTGGCAGCTGCGAGAGCATCAGCTGGCAGTACTGCCCAGAGCTGGGGCCTGCTGAGGCACAGGGGACCTCCATGGTGGGCCTAAAACGCTGGTGATGGTGTTTCTCACACCCTCAGACTTGGGTGGAGACCCTTAATTTTCATATGCAATCATGGCCTGCAGCACAGAGGGCACGAGGCAGTTCAGAGCAGCAATCAGGGAAGGGATGAGACGAGCAGGGAGCGGGGCACTACCTTGCTGTGCTCCTTGGAGTCGTCAGCTTTCACAGCAATCTTGACCCCGCGCACACTGATCTCCAGGACGCAGCTGGAGGGTGGGTTAAAGTGCACAGTGAGGCGGCGCGTGGTGGCAATCTGCAGGAGAGAGAGAGAGACAAAGCCGCGGGACTCATGAGCAGTGATGATGATTCCCCACCGAGGCTCTGCCCTGCTGGCAGAAGGAGCAGGCACTCCTGCTCCCTGGAATGGAGTGGGACACTCCATACCTTCTGCATGGCCGCACAGAGCACATCATTGCCCTTGTGGTAGGGAACTTGCACGGAGCCAAGGAACTTCACCCGGAACTGGTCCACCCAGTCACTACTCTTGGCCAGAGCTGGAAGAGAGAGCACATGGCAGGGTTCATCTCCAGTGACCAGGTATGTGGGCTGAGCTTCACCTTCCCTCTCTGTCTTCCAAACCCTGTGCTTTTCCCTGCCCAGGAAAAGCTTCCCTCAACACCAGGTACCAATTCCCAGCATCACAGCAGAACCTGCTCATCGCTCCCTGCTGAATGCCCGGTTTGGTCCTCCCCCCAGCCCCCTGCTCAGCACCAGACTGCTCAGCAGGGAGGATGTGGTACAAGGTGGGGGCATCAGCAGGCTGCACACAGAGGCTTGGTACCTGTTACGTGGTCTGAGTCCTTGGTGACTTCAATAGCATAATAGGCAGGAAAGATGCCCCGATCTCCTGTGCGCATGTTGTAGGCCTCATACCAATAATCTTCTGCCTGCACCTCCACCAGCAAAGGGTCATCCACCTCCAGCTCCAGCTCGTCCGCATGGCGAGGCACAAACCTGGGCAGAGAGGCACTAGCAGCTGGCTGGCTAGCAGTGCTGGTGGCCTTCTCACTGGCACACTGCTGGGGCACCCACCACCAACCCAGGCAGTGCCCTGGTAGCCCTGGGGACCTGACATGCTAAATAAAGCACTGGGGGAGGTTTGGGCTCAACAGGCAGCAGCATCCTGGCACCTAATGCAAGGGTATCTCCTATGCACCACCCAAGCTGCTCCTCAGAGGCCCTGACTGCCCTTGGAGGTCTTGCCCATGCAGCAGCCTGGGCAAATGGTGCTCCTGGGCAGGGCAGCTACAGGCACTGGTTTGTTCACCAGGGCTTCCCACACCGGAAGCACTCGGGCTTGTGCGAGCCCCACCTTGGTGGGAGTGCAGCACCAGCTCTCCCCTGGTAGAGGCTGGGTACTCTGCCTGTGCCTGCAAGCTCACCTAAAGACAGCACGGTGAGTCTGCTCCTGCTCCTCCCCGTTGATCATGCAGGAGAACAACCCAAAGGACTCGGCACCTGGGGACGAAGGCAGAGGAGGACATGTCAGCATTGAAGGATCAGCATCACAACCAGGAGAAGGACATGGGCCAGGCTCCTGCAGGATGGCACATCCAGGACAAAGCCGTGTGGTGCCACAGGAGGGAGTGGCATGGCTGAAGCCGCTGTGCTGGTGCTCATCAGCCCCCACTGGGAACAAGACCTCCCCACACAGACCACCCCAAACAGCTGTGACACCTGCATGGGACCAGCCACACCGTGGGAAACCCTGCCTGCTGGAACATTCCACCCGTGCTCTTCTGTGCTTGGAGGAGTGTGGCATGCCAGGAATACAATGGCCCACTGTGAATTTGCTTAGCCTCCCCCTCAGCATGGCTATACCTTGGGCAAGCCTCAGTGCAGCCTCAGACACCTACTTCCACCCCCACTTGACACTCACGAAGTTCTTCCGAGCCCCACCATGCCTCCTGGACCACCAAGGACAAAGCCACAGGCTGCAGCAAGCAGAACTGGGGCTGATGTCTCCTGGTGGCTTCCCATCTCCTGAGCATGTACCAGAGACAGGCAGAGCTGCCAGGCAGGCAGCCACCAGCCCACCTCCCTGCAGTGCCCAGCACTCACTGGAGGAGCGTGCCCGACCACTCATGAAGACATTGAGGAACTTCTTGGAGAAGTGGATGTCTGCCTCGGGGGTGGAGTCCTCGGAGAGGCAGACTGAGTCACGCTTCAGCGCATCCTCCTCGTACTCCTCGCCAATGGCCGACTCGTAGGGTGAAGAGATGCAATTGTCGTAGACTGTGGCCGAGTCGCTCTCATCGCTGTAGCCCGAGTAGCACTGCTTGAGGCTGACCAGCTCCAGCTGCACGTTCTCATCCACCACCAGCGTGTATTTGACAGAGTCATAGGAGAGGGCACTGGTGTCCGAACTCACGGAGGCTCTCTGAAGGTTGTGCCCTGGCCGGGAGCCACCATTCCCACCACCACAGGAGGCCCTGGGCAGGTTTGTCTTGTCGGGAGAGGACATGTAGTCCAGCACCTCGTCCTCCTCGCTGATGGAGGGGTTGGTTTTCCCTGCCAGGGCTGAATAGCCGGAGGTGTCAATGTCAGAGCTGATGGACATGCGGTTCTCACTGGACTGAGACAGGAACGGCTTGTCAGTCTCCAGGGGGTCCGAGTTCTTCTGCACGGGCGTCAGGTAGATCTCCTCTGTGGCCTCCAGCCTCACATCCGTCTGGTAGCGGATGCGGTCCCGGTGGGCCTCGGGGCCCCTCGTTACCACCACAACGCTGGCACCATGTGGTGGGGCCCGGCTGGTGGCCTGGTGCTTCTCGGGCGGCCGGGACGAGGCAACGCAGGCTGGGGCCATCTGTGTGGCTGCTGTGCGCCGGCATGGGCTCTCCGTGGATGTGCCCCGGTCTTTGGTGGAGGTTGTGCTGTTTTGGTGATTGACCTCATCACTCAGGCAAACGTGGTCATGGGGAGGGGTCTGCTCACCTGTAGGGAGAGGAGAGCAGCGTAGACAGTCACACAGAGGGGGATGCTCCCTGACAGGGCAGGTGTCCAGGGATGCCACCCAGACTCAAAGAATCATTTAAGTCGGAAGAGACCTCTAAGTTTCTCAAGTCCCACCACTAACACTGTCAAGTCTACCACTAAACCATGTCTCTAAGCACCACATCTATACAATTTTGGATTTGAACACCTCCAGGGATGGTGATTCCAGCACTTCCCTGCTTCAATGCTTGATCAACCTTTCAATGAAGAAATGTTTTCTAATATCCAATCTAGACCTTTCCTGGTGCAACTTGAGGCTATTTCCTCTCGTCCTACTGCTTGCTCCTTGGGAGAAGAGAGCAACTCCCAGCTCACTAACAATCTCCTTTCTGGTAATTGTAGAGAGCAAGATGGACATGCACCCTGCATCCACATGGTACGTCTTCCCCAGCCTCCTGCTCCAGCACCACCTGCCTCAGGCTCCTGAGCACCTCGAAAGGCTGCAAGGAGCTGACCCTGGCCAAAAGCCTGAGAACTCACCCGTTTTCAGAGGGGACGATGACCGGGACACCCGCTCCTGCCAACTGTGCTTTTTCCCCAGAGAGTTGTTATTCAGAGTGTCCTGAGGAGAAGAACAAAGCCGCCTTATAGACCCATCAGTAAACAGCATGTGGCACAGCAGCACCCATTCCTCCCTGACCCCGCTCAGCTGGGCATGCTGGGGCACATGATGCTCGGGGAGACCCCCCACCAACCCCACATTTCATCTTGCTGCTGCTGCTGCAAGAGCTGGCATGATGGCTGAAGCAGGGTGTGCAAGCAGCCAGCTGGGCTGCATTCACCCACCAGGGGAAACTCGGCTGCAGAAGCCCATAGCTGGACAGTCCTAAGACAAAAAGCTCAAGACCTGAGCCTGCCTGCATGCTTTGCTCCCATCCTGCCAGCCCTGTCTACCTTCAAACCACTCAGCTTAATGAAATGGGGGAAATCCCAAAGACCAGGTGATGTGGTGCTGCTCAGCTGGAAGCCAGCTACCGGACAGACTGTCCCTGGAGAGATCCTTATTGGGTGTTCACAGGGGCATACACAGATAGTGTGTCTGTATACAAACCTGTACATGCACACACACACAGTTCACCAGCAGATTTCAATCCTCAGTAGCTGGAGAGGAGAGGCAGGATCAGGCCATCCATGCTTCCCATGTTTGGGCGATTTTCTGTGGGTGCTGTGCCCTGCTTGCCCCGCCCTGGGGGGCTGGCCATGCATGTGCACAAGGAAACACATGCTTGGCCTTACTGTAAGAGCCAGGGGGACCAAAGTGCACCGAGTCCCCTCTAATGAGGGCCCCCCTGAAGATGGGGGACAACTCCTCCCTGCCCACCTCCTCAGGGTGTGACATCCTGCCTGGTGCAGGGCCAGCCCTCATCCACTCCTCCATCCCCAAGTTCTCCCTGTCTGCACTCCCCCAGCCCCTCCTACGGGGCACTGAGTGTTTCTGCCCCAGCTGCAGCAGTGGCATTTTCCACTGCTAGTTTTTGCTTAAGTACCAAAGCCCCGCTGGGACTCCCTGGATTTTCTCACGGTCTTATCACCAACCCACAGCTGTTCCCAGCAGCACAGGGGCTGCCCTGTCCTTACTTTGCTTCCCCACCGACATGAAGGAAGCCTTTGCCCCAAAATTCCGTCATGTCACACACTGCTGAACCATGCCTGCCAGATCCCTGCCTCCATGTGGGGAGGGAGAGACCCCCTTCACAGAGCTTTGGCAGCCTCCCACCATGGTCTCCATGAGTCCCTCCTGTGCCAAGGCAAATAACAGCACGTCCCTGCTAGTCTTTCCCAGGGACATGATGGGCTGGGATGTGGGCCAGGCAAGCTGTCACAGCGATGGCCTCTGCGTGCAGAGTGCCACGGGGCCAGCACACACAAGCCAGCCTGGCTGCCTGCACTGGGACAGGAGGCAGCAGTGCGGCAGGCACAGCCCGCTGAGCCCACCCATCCCCACAGGGACAGGGCACTCAGGGGTCTGTAATGCCCCACCAGGGTGGAGAGGCATTCACAAAGTCTTAAAGGATGAACCTAGCCAGTCACAACAGCTGCTTCTTGCCCTCTGGGAAGCCAGGGATGTTCCTCTCACTGTTTCCAGGCTACCTGCCTGGAATAATGATCATAGAGTGCCCAGAACCAACTGAGAAACCACCAGGCTGGATCCTGGCCTCACAAGAGCAGAGGCTGGGATGATGCCTTGCTTTGTGAATACCCTGTCTGGCAGAGTGCCTGGTGCCCCAGCTGGGCATTCAAGAGAGGATGCATGGCCACGGTCCCTCTTCTGACTGCTTATAGGAGAAGGGACATGGGCAGGTCAAGGGGATGCAGTGTCTCACACAAGTGGAGACAGATTTCAGGCTGGTCCCCAAGGGATGCCCTGTGCCCTGTCCTCTCCTCAGGGCACCACATGTAGACAGGGAGAAGATGCCTCTGGCTAGAGGTAGGCATCCAGAACAGGAACTCCAAGCGCTTTACAGACAAGTTCTCACTAGATGTTACCAACAGCACTATCCTACCTGGCCAGCCATGCTGCACTCCTGTGCCACCATTCCCACTGGCTCCAGGCTCCCATTTCCAGCTGCAGCAAAGCCCCCTCTCGCATTCCCCATGTCCTCAGCTCAGCTGTGCCCACACCTCTCAGTGAGCTCCACAGCCTCCACCATCTCCTTGGCAAGGGGACCATCAGCTTCTCCAGCTCACCGTTTCTGCAACTCCTCCCACCCCCATTCCTCTCCAGACGCTTGCTCCCACCCCCGGACACTGGCTGGGACTGAGTGCCTGGGAGAGGGCCCTGCTATTCCCCACCTCCCCCAGCTGGATGTGGCTGCCACATAATACCACTTGCTCCTCGGGGTCCCTGCACAGGGTGGGACAAGGCTGCTGCTGTCCCCTTGTCCATTATGCTCAGTGGAGCTCCCCCCGCCTTCCCCAGCCCTGCTGCCTTTGTCCCTGGTGCCAGCTGCCTGCGGGCGCCTATCCTTGGCTCTGTGCCTTCCTCCTCCTCCTCCCACCCATGGCCTCAGGCAGAGAGCTGGCATCAGCTGCCGGTGCTGGGCTGGTGACACCCAGCTCCGACTACTCCCCATCTGTCACCCACGGGGACACCTGCCTCTCACTTCATGCTCCTCGGCTGAACGTCACCGCCACGAAAATCCTCCTACTTGGCAGAAGGCAGAGCTGAATGGAGGAGGGTGGCAAAAATAACCCTGCACGTCGCACACTTTGCGTGGGTTTGTGAAGTTTGCAGAAGCGACAGAGCAAAGGGACTCCAGCCGCTGCCTGGGGGGTCAGCACGCATCATCCACCCCAGGGTAACACCATGGCTGTGTGGGGCAGGCAGCCTTGGCTAAAGCCATCCAAAATCTTTACAAAATCTGAGTGAGCAAGACAACAGCACCCCCTTGTCCTCCTGGCCACCATTTTGGGCGTTGTTTTTCCGTCTCTCAGATTTTGTACATTAATTCTGATATTAATGCTTCTCTTGCCAGGCACCACGACTCAGGAGCTGAGGCCACCAGGTTCCCTCTGCCAGGCACGGGGCTACCTGGTGTCACCAACGTGCCCTAGAGCTGCTGCTGCCCCAACCAGGGGCAGCTGGAGCCCAGCCAGCTGCTGGTGCCGGCCCTGGGCTGGTCAGCCCGTGGCGTGGTGCCCCGTCCGACGATGGCTCATTCACGCGTTCTGCGGCCATGCCTCGTTTGCTCCCCATCCCAGGGGAGCCTTTCGCAGCTCCCACCCTGTCCCTGGGGCACGGCTCTGTGCCAGGCCACCCGGACCCTGCCGGGGCACATCTCAGTCCCGACACCATTCCTGGCGCGCTCCCTCTGCACCTCGGCAGCACAGACGAAAGAAGGACCCGCCCGGCGCCTGAGCCCCCTCAAAGAACCCCGGAGCGCAGTGCTGGGATGCTCGGGGCAGGGCGTGCTCAGCTCCCCGG